ATGATATTAAAAATAAGTACTTGATGATCATGATCAAAGAGAGAAAATTGATATTAACATTTTTCGGTTTCCATGTCATACAAGTTATCTCAGAAGGTATATTAATATAACCAATTGGCTGAAGAGTAGGATAAGTAACAGTAGTAGAAATATTAAATACAAATATAGTAGAATCATCACTACCTGTTACTAATATACTGAAAAACAATACTTCTAATTATTATTTCTTTTTATTTTTTTATACTTAATTAATGAAGATTATAAATATTTGATGTAAGATTGTATTATACCTGCACGATGGATTTATCGACATTACATTAATCGATCGTGAATGTGGTTTCAAAACTTGAACTAATTTAGTGTAATTTCCTTTTATATTATTCTGTTCGTTAGCAGTTAATACTGCAATAACAACCATACGAATAATACCTGTATCAAAAGCGCATACAAGTGTAGATCCAGTTGCATCTATCTAAAATGTTCAATTTATTTTTACTTCAGAATAGAAGGATTGTAGATTTGTTGTATATTAAAATAAATAAATAAAAAAATAAATAACTCACTTTACTTGGAATCCATATGACTTGTTTACCAGAATCACGAAAATGATAAGTAAGAATTAATTTCTTTTCTGTGTAATTATAAATATGTAAATGACCAGCTATGTCAATAGTTGCAACAAACGGTCCCCAGTCTGCAACATCCATGTCACTTATAGCTCCTGCATGACAAGTCAATATTTTTTGAGATAATTCTGGTTCTTTAAAAGTATTCAAGTCTATTAGCCATAAACCACCATTGCCATCCTGCGTATATTTTATATATATATATAAAAATAATTCTTCTTAATTTATATATAAAATCAAATATATGTAATATAATGCATAGTTGTTAAGAGAAAAGGAGAGAGAAAAATTAAAATTAATTTACCTGAGCATACCAAAAAGTATTCTCAGGATTATCTGGCTCTTGCTTTTGTATGCCCATTAACATTGTATTTTTTTGTAAATTTGTGTTTTCATCATCAGTGATGAAAAACTCATAAATTGGTTGCATTTCAAGAAATGGATCTTCTTCTGTTGGATTTGCCAAATCTATTGTATCATAAAACCAAACACGTATGAAACCATCCATCCCTACAAAAATATAAGTAAAACATATTTAATGTAATTTTATTCAATAATATACACACAATTTATTGTTATATTATGAAATTATTATTTACCAATAGTGAAGAGCTCTCCATTGATATATTCTAATTGTATAATAGGTTTTGTATGACAAAATTCTTTATTCTTTCTAGAAATTTCCAATTTAATCAAATTTTCATCCCATAGCAAAATATTACCCCATTCGCAACCTGATATTACCTATAACTTGAAAAATAAAATGACAATATTGAAATAATATTAATAAGAGAAAGAAGATATTTCTTATAATATACCTTTCTATCAGGCATTTGATAAGCACCGATAACATCTGATATTTCAGTTCTTCCAAATTTTCCAAGTTGACCTTCAAGCTTAAGACCGGTAAAAGTTTGCGCCATTTTCCAAAATTTAATATGCCCCGAACCACATGAAATTAAACTACCAGGTATGTATGTAGAAAACATGACATTATAAACATTTTGAGAGTGCGATTTAGATTGTAATAAAATCTTAGATTCTTGCCAGTTCCAAACTGTTATAAAATAATCTGGTTTTCCTCCTTGAGAAGCTAGTAATAAACCATCCATACTAAAGTGTAATAATTAATGCATTAATATTTTTTTAAATACTTCAATATTTTAACCAAATTATTAGATATAAATCGATACATGATAAATATATACTTTTTTTTTATAAATAATTGTTACCTATAATGTAGATGAAAATATTGTTCTTTCGTACCACCACGAAGGCACATTACAATTTCCATGCTTGGCCATTGATAAATAGTTATCAATGGATCAGTTCCATTTTCAGCGATAGCAATATGATCAAACATTAGATTTTTCTATGGAGAAAATAAAGTTAAGTTAAATAAATAAATTGTATTAATTTTCCAGAAAAGATTTGAATGAAAAGCAATTATCGTACAGTTATATGTCCAATTCCACCTCCCGTAGCACCTCGTTGAAACCATATCGTTTTTGTATTTACATTGAAAAAATGAATTATATTACCGGAAGCAAAAATAATTGTATTTGGATCAGCAACACAAAAATTAAAATATTTCTGACAATCGTATGAAAAGGAATGACTATTGTTTAAATGTTAAGAAAATGCAAATTCATTTACTTTAAACAACAACAACAACAACAACAACAAAATCTACTTTGAATTTTTATCAAAGGATACTCAAATTCTAAAATATTTATTGGTACAGTACCATTTTGAACACGAAAAGGTTTAGAAATGTGTGTTTTTGAATCATAATATTTTGCTTCACTTTCATTAGATATTTTTTGATGATTATTTTCTCGATCGTATGGAAAATTTTCTAATGCTTCTATCTCATCGTCCGTATCAATCATGACGATTTTTTTTTTTTTTTTTAATAAAACTTTGATCTCTCACATACGTCTTCTTTTATTAAACGAATCTGTGTTAAAGAAGAACAATTTTTTCGTGAGTATAAATAATTTTGCGTAACCATGTGAACCGGCTATTTGAATTCCAAACACATTCAAGTTTCAACATAGATAGTTTGAAATAAGTGTCTTATGATTTTTATTTTGTTTATATAATCATAGGCGATATTAATTGTAAGATTTGTTTATCATTTATTAGAATATAGTTCGATCAATCGCAATATTATTTTCATTTGCTTCACTTGACAACACATACACATACACACACAACAACATCAATGAAATATATAATGAATTCAATTAATTCAATCATCATCAATCAATCAATCAATCAATCAAATTTACAATGAATATCGGTCATCTATTTTCAAATTAAAGTTTATGTAGGGGTGCGTGTGTATAATGTAGTTTTATTTTTAGATAGATAATATATAAAAGATTGAAATTTTTTTTTTCGGTAATTATTCAAACCTGATTAAAAAAAAAAAAACAACAAGAACAAATTAACAATTAATTAGTGATAAGAAAGGAAAAATTAAGAATGTGTAATAATTTTTTACCTGAATACGTAAATGCATTTTTGGATGATGTTGAAACTACTATGTGTTTACCGATACTCGTGATCATAGTGGTTTGCACCTTACAATTTATATTTAATCATGTTGCTGATGTTGGATGTGTTGTTTATGAAAACGTACAAGACAAATTAGATAACAAAGAATTTGGTTATGGCACCACCCAAACTAATCTGATAAATAGATTAAAAGGTTTGATATATTATAATATTTTTTTTTATCATTTATTTATTATTATTATTTATATTTCTTTCTTTGTATAATTCAAATCGGTATTTCTTTTTGTTGTTGTTTGTTGAAAATCTTTTACAAATAATATGCATCAATGTATATAAGAAACATTTACCACATTATTGAATATTTATAACATTATTTTGTTCATTATTATTATTATTATTATTATTATTATTATTATTATTATTATTATTATTATTATTATTATATTAATCATTGTTTTAGAATTAAATTATTAATTTTTATATATTTTCTATATATTTTCAGAGATAATAACAAATTTAATATTTAAACATCCTACAAAAGTCTCATCAGGCCCTAAGATCAATTCGAATTTGGTTTATAAAAGAAATAATAAAAAGAATCATTTAGATTATTGAAAACGAAGATTTTTAAACAAATTGTACTCTCTATGATCAATGATATTCATTAGTAAGTTTTTTTTTATATGATATAATATAATATAAAAAATTTGTAAAAATAGTCTTTTTATAATTTTGAACACGGTGCACGAATTAATTCTATAAACTTAAATTAAAGATTTAAAAAAAAAAAAAAAAAACATACGTGTATACACGTGTTGACAAAGTAAATTGCAAAGAAATTGTAAAGGAGCTTGAAATGATTATAAAAAATATATATATATATATATTTATATATATTTTTTTTTTTTTATTTTGAATAAGAGGAACGTATATTTTTCTTTACACCGAACGTAAGAGAAAAAACATATCCGATCGTTTTCGATATTTAATTTCATTACAAATGATGTATCTATTGAAATGCACTTTCTTAAAATTCATTTTGCAATTTTGTCCAATTTCACTGTCACATTTAATCAATTCTTATTAATATTATTTACTTTAATAATTAATTATACTTATACGAATAGCAGGTGGTGCATTATCGCATAATTAATTAAAAAGCTAATAAGAGGAGAAATATACCACCGTCTTACAATAATTTATTTAGAAAGTAGTACTCCAATTAGTTTTATGGTCTTTTTTTTTTTTTGATCATTTTTCTTGTTGTTATTTAATCTGTACATGAATATATATATCGAAGTTGTCGTTATACAGCATATGTATTTAAATATTTACAATTAATTATACAGGATTATTTGTGCAAGCAATAGTTTTATCGTTTTATTTTATTTTTTTTTTTTAAATATTTTCTTTAACACAGGTATATAAATATTTTTGTTTTCTTTTTTTCTTTTTCATTAAACGAAAACAATCGTTTTAGAAACGCAACGACAATAATTTTTTTTGATATGCTATAAACACACGTTTTTATTTTTTTTTTTTTTTTCAGTCAATATTGTATTCATATATCAGAGAGATTTAATTAGTCAATTATAAATGAACACATTTGAAAAAGGGGGGCCTTATTAAAAAGAACCTATTGGTGCATTAATTGTCAATATAATATATATTCAACTGTTCATAAGTAATCCAATTTATTGAAATAATAAATATCAGAATATTTGTGCACTTTTAGTTTTTTTTCGGTGACATTATTATTATCCACCTTTTTTTTTATTTATAACTTTTAAATACCTTGATTTCCATGCGTATTAAATAATAGACATAGAGATAATATTTCTGATTTATATATATTTATTTTATCGTTATGTTTTGGTTTTGAATGAATGTTTTTCGAACGATTCGTATTAGAAGGCATCTTTTCTTATTTTTTTTTTTTATCAACCGGAGTATCATCAGTTGTCATTCTTTTTTATATTCTGATATTAGCCGTTTTATTCTTGTACTATGTGATTAGATATTTGATATCAGGAAATTAGCAAGAGTGAAAACTATTTTCTTACTTTCATATTTCCATTGGTTGTTAGATTAGAAAACTGTATTCAGTCGTTAGAATGTGTATGAAAGATTTGGTTTTTTTTTTTTTTTTTTTACATTATCAATACCCTGAGTACATGATTATTGTATGATAACCGAACATTTTCTTAAATAAAGAAGTACTTCGTAAGTTTTTTTTTGTTTCGTGTAATTTCTATTTATAATTAATGAGTTTTTGGGATAATGGCATATGTTAGTTAAAAAAAGAACGTTTGTGTGTCTCTTTAGAATCGTATCGTTATTTTCTCCTTCGTATTTATTTTCATTTATGTTCAATTAATTGTCAACTAAGTTTGTTTATATTTTTGCTCTAAATCAAATAGATATCTCAAACCAATTGATTTGATTTATTTTCAGTTATACGTAGAGATATTCAATTATACGAGCGATATTCGTAATCTCACTTTTAAAGTCAATATCATTTCGTATTAATGTTTGTTTCACGTTTTTCTTTTTATTCTTTTGCACATTATTGTTTTCATTCATCACATGAAAGTATTATCAATGTTGGATAAATTTTTTCTATTAGATGCCGATCCAGCAGCAGAATTAACACCTTCGTCCTCAAACGTAACCATTTTTTCTCGACTTCTTGTTGTAGTATTGGAAGGATCCAATAGACGTCCTTGATTAATTGCTGATGTGTTGGTTGTAAGGCCAGAGGCTGGTGGCGTGATTACTGAAGAAGGTCTTAGTGCTGATGTTTGAGGTAAAGGTGCTACCGCTATGTCGGTAACAACAGTAGCAGCTAAATTAAATTCGCTAACACTCCTTGGTACAAAATATTCAAAATGTAAAGAACTTTCTTGTTGGCGATGTTGATGATGATGCTGATGATGATATTGTGGCGATAAACAGCTACGTCTCGTTGGATGACCACGTTGAAATATCTGAGATGATGAGAGATTTTTGTCGGCGGATGATTTTTTACGTGGCAAAGAATGATGACCGGGTGACAATTTCATGGCAGTACTCGACGGGTGGGCCAGGAGTTTCCCGTCACTAGGGATCCTGGCCTGGTGTTGTCAGGATGACGGCACCGTGGACATGGCGATCGCTTCTTCTTCTTGTTCTGACAATCTTGAATCGCTGGTACCTCCTCCATCGTCGAGTTCAGCTTTGATTCCAGGTGCGGTCCCTATTACCAACAAAAATAATGGAAAATCAATTGAGCAATATATATGTTTGCTATATGATAGTGGGGTAAAAACACACAACAGCTGTATTTATATAAATTTTTACTAGCCCAGTAGACAGCACAGGATATCCTGAAGATATTTCCATTTACGAAACATTTGAAATATTTTCATCGATGTTTTTCATGATCAGGGCTTCTTTTCTTTAATCGATTTACCGTTAATTGACAAATACAAATTACGACGAATACTTTTAATCGATATCTTTAACACACTTAATTGGATATATATATATCTTGTTATAGATTTTTTTTAACAAGACGTACGAGATAATATGCTTTTAATTATCATTTCGATTTAAGGGCTTAATCAATTTGATTATGTTCAATGAATGTCGACATTTCGATCGATATAAAGTGTAACGTTACATCAATGTTTAACTTCAAACGATTTGATTTCGCATTCGTTAATTGAAAACTAATTTTGATCACATCATGGAAGCCGAGCTTTATAGACGAAAATTCATTTCAAAAGGTCTCTCTACTCGTTCCCCATTGAATCTGCCTTCGTCAGGGATACCTGTACCACCAATAGGGCCGACCACCACACCCGATGACATGCCACAGGTTCTACCGAAGACCCTGACCACGCGTACCACCTCCTCCTGGACGAGGTTGAAGCACATGGCTATCAGGCCCATTCCAGCGAGTATATACAACGAGCAGGCACACAGGCTGAGCTCTTCCAGGGTAGTTGATGGGGCGTTGCGTCCAGTCGGCATCAGATCTCCAAATCCGATGGTGCCGAGACTCGTGAAGCAGAAATATCCACCTTCTAGAAGACTCCAACCCTCCAGACGATTGAACATCACTGCACCGCCGCATATATATAACAGCATTATTACCAGGCACAAACTAATGGGTATTCTAACGGAATACGTTTCCATCATATAAGCTGGCGATGAACTCGAGGAAGGTGATAACGAACACGGTTGTAAATGGCGTTTTCCATTGCCTGCCATTGTATCCTAGATAACACCACATATATCAATCTCAAAAAAGAATATGACCCTTTATTTAATTTGATTTGAATTTTTACCTGGAGAGCAGCCGTTGAACTAGTGGTAGCATGCAAAAGACCTTCGCTACCACAATCGAGTAATATGGCACTGTTTGTACCTCGTGTTCCAAGATCGTCGCAGGAACTATCGCGACTAGTTGAATAATAATTTGCCGCCTTTGTTTCTATATGATTATCATAACGGTATGACTTGCCCATGATACCACCGACTGGCGGAGGAGGCGGTGGAGGTTGTTGTTTTTTAATACAATTTCGTGGAATGCACATGCGACCGTACAAACGTCGGAAACTTCTAGCAAGAACGTCGCCCACTGTGCTTAGATAAACCAACATAAGAGGTATACCAGCTAAAGCGTAGATTATGGTAATTAGGCGACCCCAGACTGTACGCGGAGTTACATTACCGTATCCTACGAACCAAAATAGTTAATTATATACACTACTGAATTTCTTACGACTATTATACTGATACTTTATATTATTTTAACAAAAAACACATTATTATTTACCTATGGTGGTAATAAGTGTTAAAGAATAAAGCAGACTACCGCTGAACGTCCATCGTCGTTTATCTACTTCGTTATTTCGCGATTGATGAGGTGGTTCAAAGGGCGTTGACGTACGTCCCAATCTACGCGAAAGATTATCTTGAAATTCTTGAATTTCTTTCGCCGCTAGTCGAGTCCAATTCTCCTTATAAAGAATATTCAAATCTTCAGTTATACTCCAAAGTCTTTCTACAGTCTTTGCTCTTAATTCGGTAGCAGCATTTTCATCCTCAAACGTTGATAAACTGTACGATCCTTCCTCACTTTTTGCAATTTTCGATGACACGTTTATCAATGACTCCTATTGAATGTGAACAACAACAATATTATTGATTCTTATTATAAAATGAAATATTTCTTTGTTTATGTTACACTTATGTTAGCTAGAAATCTTTTGTTATTTTGAATTCTTACCGATTTTAGTCCACCCTCTAATGCCATAAAAGCGAACGCACCAAGAAGGGTGTAACCAAGTACAAGAACGCAAACACCAAGACTGGCTAATAATCCTGGTGTGTTAGTTGAAGTGGAAGTGCTACAACTGCAGCAACAACAAAGCAATTCAGCACCACGTACCGAACTGCTGAGTCTTAGGGAATCTGTGTTCCCGCCGTTACGTCCGGGACAACATCTAGGTGCCCTTTGGTAATAGTCGCCGGTATTTTGCATCATTATGCCGCCTAATTACTATACCACACCACCACCACCACCACCACCACCACCACCACTACCGCTGCCGCCGCAGCTGCAGATGCAGCGATCGACGCCGCAGCTGCAGCCGCAAGCGGTAACGTCCTATCGTTGTTCTAACGTTCCTTTGGCGTTGCTGTCCTCATCCATCTGGTGAGATGTCTGGACCTGTCACAACGAGGAATTGTTTGATTTTACTGCTCATAATTTATTTCTAATCGAGTTTCAAAAATGATTAATGAACGGGTTTAGTTTGAACGTTCATTTTGGATTAACACTACCGAATTATATTTTCTAATAGCTACCTGATTTTCGTAAACATTTTATATATTGATAAATTTTTAAATAATCTGTCGTCGTGTGTGTCATTTTAAATATCTGTGGTTATCGTTCAAAGTAAAGGAACCTTTTTATTTGATGAAATGGTAATTCGAAAAAAAAGAAATAATATTATATAAAATATACCGTTCATAAGTTTTGTTGATTACTTCAAAAGTATTTATTTTTTCTTCTCATTATTTTGTTTATCTAAATTTATATAATGATTATAAACTTTTGATCAGTAGTTAGAAATATCAGGTATAAATATATATATACATACAATGTGTGCATTATACGTATATACCATATACCACAAATTAACACGGACCTAATCTATATCTCATACAGATTACGAGCTGGTATGCATAAATTGAGAATTTCCTCGAACAGAGTAGACATTTATGCAACTATGTAATTATATATATATATCATACTCGTTTTCGCGAGATTGAAACAAAACATGGAAACAGAAGTTGCGTTTTGTTGCATTTAAATGAAATCAATTTGAAACATTTAGAAAAAAAATCGATGTTTTTATTTCTATTACATATAATTAGCTGTCCTGTAACTGGTGATACAAATAAACAGAAATTAATTTAACAGAAAAATTTCAATTGAAAATATTGAATCAAATTTTTCCATATAAAATCAATGATCTTTAAATTATGTTCCAACCAACCAATCTTCCTGAAAGCTTTATAAATTATTATTTACAGGTATTAAATTGTATTTAATATCATCTGTCATGTTAGGGTTGCGTCAGGTTTGCGTTAAATATTTTTTACACTTGTAAGGATTTCGTGAACGAAAATAGTTTGTTTTCGAGAAAACTAAATTTGAAAATTTTATCGAGTACTTGTGCACTAAGCTTGCAACCTTGATAACTAATAAATCTTACTCGATAAGCATAAGAATAGATCATATATAAGAGATTTTATCACACTGACAATGTTAAAAAAGGTTTTCCGAAGTATCCAAAAGTAAAATAGTGAAAAATCCATTTAACTGAAATGGGATGTCAAATCATTTTCAAATTTATTTTTTTCCAAAACTAAACCTTCATATGAACAAATTGTATTCTACATTTTCGACTTACAATTAGTTTTTCATATAAAAAAATAAATTTCGTTATTAATCTTAATAAATATAATAGTCAAAACGTACCTAATTATTTACGACGTGGATAATTCTTCATATGGTTTCGTAAATTATGCTTGCACATTCTTTAAGTTATATCTCGCTATAGTATGTTTTTTTTAAATTGTTTTTTTGTTGTTCTGTAAATGATAAACAAAAAAAGGATAAGTATAAAATTATTAATTCGAATAATAAATTGTGTTTTATTATTATTATTTTTTCTTTTTAGCAATAATTACGTCGGTATTTAATTTTCATTGTTTTTTGTTTGTTTTCGTTTTCGTTTGAAAAGAAAGAAAGAAAGAAAGAAAAAGAAAAAATCACGCCGATCGAGTTAACTCGTTTCTCTCATTTAATGTAATTAGCACAGTTACAAACAAGACCTTTACGATATAATTCGTGTATATATATATATATATATATATAAGCTTGTGTGTATGTATGTATATATGTATATGTATATATATGGGCAAGTGTGCAACCGTGGTAATAGATCTGCGCTATACGGTCGTTGAGTTTCAAGTTCCGTGAAAAGAAAATAGTTCAAGGGAAAGATGGAACGTGAAAAAAACTGGTGGGAAAAAAAGAGAGGAATACTGAAAGGGAAATGCTGAGAATGTCACACCGTGTCTGATACTTCGCCAAAGCGATTTTATCCACGTCTCTACGAGTTATTTACCATTTGTTTGTTTTTTTTTTTATTTCTTTTAAAACCGTAGTTATTGAAACGTTATTTCGAATATTTATCGAAATATTCAATCAATTGATTACATATATATATATATTACATTTGTATATTATATATTAACGATAATGGTCAAATAATAAAAAATAAATAGAAATAATTAGGTCGAGTCATAAGTAATTTCTGATGCGACTATGTAGAATCTATTTTTCGTATTTACTTACTATAAGTCACCGAAACAAACGAATTTTTGATATCATTGTATAGATGAGAATTATTAAAATATTGAAAAGAAATTCAAAATTATAAATTTTAGTTAGAATGATATTATAAATATCTAATAAACTATATTTATACTTGTTATCAAAGGGGTTTAACTAGGAAGCAAATGTTAAATATCGATTGAAGATTATAGAGTAAAGGAAACATGTGCATTGAAGGTGATGTCAGAAATCAGAGCAATGGCAAATGGCAAGTGCAAAATTGTGCTATGGACACTGTGTCTTTAGTGTATGTCAACTACGTAACGTGATCCTTTAAAATAACAAGAAATTATTTCAACCTCATTGTTTATATTTATATATAATATATATATATATATTAAATTTATATAGGGAAATTAAATATATGATGAGTTGATAAAAATTGTTCCAAAAAAAAAAATTCTAAAAGTAGAGTTAATCATTTTGGTCTGATAAAAAACATATGTCTCATACATATATACATGTATGTACAATATATACGTACATATATGTACACATACATACATACATATATATATATATATAATGTAAAGCTTTGTAACTTCCTTCGCACCTTATCAAAGATCGTTCTCCCTTCTCTATCGTATCGGTTTTCGACTTCCTACGGCCGTGTCGTCGTCTAGCATATCGTTTCACCGAAGTGGAAGAAACTTTTTCCTCTCTTGCTCCTAGTACCGTGCATGAAACTTTATGAAACGTGTCCTATCTTCCGTGGAGGGATGGATTCACGTGACATCCTTGGCTTCTCGACTTGGCTATTTCGTCTCTATCGACGTTTTGTGGCCGATGCATTTGAAAATAATAGCCAACCTTCTTCGTTCCACTTTCCTTTTTTTTTTTTCAAACTATATTTTACCTTTTTTTTTTTTTACAAACTTTTTCTTCAAAATTTCATTTTTTACAAAGAAAGTGAGAGAGAAAGATAGAGAGATGGACAATTACATGAATTGATAGAAAAGAATAAAAAAAAAGAAAAGAAATTGCACGAAATTGTATCAAATTTTAAACGTTCCTTAATGAAACATAATTGTGTTTGTTGTTTTTATTATATTTATGATTGTATATGTTGTATATATCACTGGCACACACATACACACACACGAGACGATGATTAAAATTTTCTAAATTGGTTATACACGAGATGTTATTAAAAATTGATTAGAAAGTTCATTGTGGAAATGTCATTCAACGATGTAGATCGTTTTTACCTATTTTCGCGTTAAGAAATTTTTTTTCTCAATATTATAATAATAATAATAATAATAATAATAATAATAATAATTTGTTATTATTAATACTGGATAAATCAATGATATACGTCTATGTAATGTATTTAAAATTATTTTTTCGTTAAACTTTCAAAAAAAAAAAAAAAAATGTCATTTTCATCTTCGACCGTTGATTTTTCACTTTCTTTTCGATTAAGTCGGACACAAAAAGTTTTACATTGACAAATTTCAATTTAATGTCAAATTTGAATTAAAAGGACACATCATCATCATCATTCAAGAAGAATCACTTTGATGAAATATTTTTAAAGCTGCTCTTTTGAATTATTCAAAGTATGGTTGAGCCAAAATCTTTGTCTTTTCTTTTCCATTATAAAATTTTCGAAATGAAACGCCAATTTTCTTCACGAAGTTTACTCAAAATCCTCTTATTATTATTATTATTATTATTATTATTATTTTTGTTAAATTTATTGAATTGTTCGTAATTGAATATAACGTAGGACGAATGGGGGTTGAAAAACGATGAAATGTGTGGAAACATCTCTCTAACAAAGTATTGAACACTGCTAGAACATGAGAAATCTCTGTGTTCGTTGTCAATATACAAAATAAATTTGATTATTAAAGAAAATGTTTATATCTATATATTTGACAAATCAAACTTAAAAACAAATTCTCTTTTGAAAATTTTTGATAATTCTTCAAACGATACGACTTTTACTTATTACCTTTAAAGTTCGTCGCGAAATAATACAAGAGTAAATCAATATAATAATAAAAATAAAAATAAAAATAATAGATAATTAATGTCAAATAAAAATAAAAATTCAAATAAATAATAATCACTAGTATCGAATTTCCTCAAAGTATTTCCTCTTCCTACCTAAGCAACACTGAACAACTCCCTCTTCGGGTGGTCCAGATAGAATCTTCTTTCTTTCTTTCTTTCTTAGTCTTCTTCTTCTTCTTCTTCTTTTCGTGATCCTTACCCACGTAGAAAATATTCGTTAATGAATATACTTTCCAGAAAAATAAATATATATATAAATTTTCCTCACACTAAAGATACGAATATATATATATATATATATATATACGTTGTTAACAATTAAACAACGAATCACGACGAATACGAAAACGAAAGATGATTAAAACAAATCTCAAAGGGGCCTTTTTTTTATCTCTCTCGATAATACTAGCGTAAAGGTAGTAGACCAATAAAATACGAGGTTAAAACGGGGGTACGGGGAAGGAGGAAAGAAAAAAAAAGAAATATATACGTGACACAATTGAAAGACGTGATCGTACGAATCAACGAAGCTCGTCTACTAGAAGGAAAACGTTCTCTACGAGGAACGTCGGACCGGCACGGACGCACCCCATCGACGTTGCAGGGCGCAAAATCCGTGTTTTGTTGAAGCGCATGTGCGCCAGCCAGCCCGTGAGGTAGAACCCGCATAAAGGAGCGGCGGCGCACCTCCATTTCATCCACTCTTCAAACCCCTCTTCCACATTTCATCCCCTTTCCCTTCTAACCCCTCTCCGATCATTTTCTTTTCTCTCCTTCACCTCTTAGCCACCACCCACTCACCCCCAACCCACTCCCCACTCCCTGTTCCTATCCCTAAACTACCCCTTTCTCTCTTTCTCTTTCTTTTTCTCTATTTCTCTCCTTTTCTTACAAACGATCACTGAGAAAGCTCAGCACCAGGGACTTTGCTTTTACGTCGATGCCCGCCCGAATCTTCTTCGTGTCGATCGTTTCAACGAAAGATCCTAAAACGCTTCGTTTAAAACTTCAGGTGGTGTCCCTTTCTTCCTTCCTTCCTTCCTTCCTATCCACCCAACCACCTCACCTTTCCACCGGGACGACCATAATAAAGATTCGACTCTTCTTTTTTTCACAAGTGCGTTCCGCTTTTCTTACTTTAATACACCCAGTATTCCCCGATAACAGCTTTTTCCTTGAAAGAACCTTTTTACTAGACATTCTACCTGTATATATATATGGGACATTCTTCGTCAAATCGACCACTTTTGACCCCGACCCCTTTTCGATTTTGTTGAAACTTTCTTATCATTTTTAACATGATTAAAAAATATTTGTGGAATTTTTTCAGATTTTTTTTTTTGGTCAACCTAAGAAAAATCGCATTTTTTCCTTCAAAGTGTTTCAAAAAAGTGAAAAATTGAAATTTCGAAAAACCCTCTCCCAGCGTTACCTGAGGGAAAACTATTATCTAACGAATGAACTTTGATTTTTTTTGATTTCAGATGATCCAGCACCAAGTTATGAAGGGACACCGCAATTCTACTTTTTTCCTAAGACACGTCGGAATAATTGCTGCCATTGCCGTATTTTGTAATATTTCTACGTGAAAATTTGATACAATATTCTTCACATGTCATACTTTAATGTACCATTGATTTTAATCAAGAGACTTTAACTGTGTCGTCAAAAAAAATTCACAAAAACATGCCTTTTTTTCTACGAATTAACCTTACCCACCCCTTTAACTACCACTACTACTATTGCTACTACTACTACTGCTTTCACATCGTTTTCTTTCTCTCTCTCTCTCTCTCTCTCTCTCTTAAGGATTTTCGTTTTCTCCGTTATCGACGTCAAGTTTAGTTATTCGACCGTTTAGATTCTGTCAAGATTAATTTCCTGTCAAAGATGAAACTCACCTTCTCTTTCCTTCACTCCTTCCCTTCCTCTCTCTCTTTCTATCTCTCTCTTTCTCTCTTTCTGATATTTCAGTCGAATATTACACTTTATCATTTGCTTTTGGAAAGTTTGGCAGAAATTGATTGGTCCAATCGTCTATTAATTTCCTTTTCGAAAACTACGGCAACCACTTGTTGTCAGTCATCTCATCACAGGTTAAAAGCTAATAACGTGTGATCAACAATTCTTCGTTCTTTCCGTAAATGTCACATATTTCGAAAATGTAACTGTTAATAAGGGTGATGAGTTTTCGCGGTTGGTTCATTGGTAAATTCGTACAATTGGAATTGACGATTAATTAAGCAAAGGAACGAACGTACGTATGAACGAATGAACGATTGTTGATTTAACATTTAAAGGATTTCACATATGACGCACATATGTCGAGAATTACGTCAAAATCAGTCGTACGTTTTGAACTAAATTTATTAATCAAGCGTCTGATTTTTGTTTCTTCCTTTTTTGTTGTTGTTTTTATCGTTGTTGCTTGACAAAGCAACTTTGAAAAGCGTTAGAAGTAAATTATTTTGGTCAACTAAAAAAAAAAAAAACGGAAATAAAAACGTTTGCAAAAATAAACACGTGTTTGTACATCATATCATAGATTCTCAAAGGATACACTTTAGAATATTGTAATAAAGTTAGTCGTAAATATTATCGTAGTACGTACCCATAAATTTTGAAGAAAATATATATGTCTTCCTTCCTTGTTTTAAACTCGCAAGAAATTTCCAAGTTTCTTCTTATTCCTGTTCCATTTTATTTTTTGTTTGATTTTTCTACGATTCACGTAAAAGTGTGTCTTCGAATATCACCTATGATAAAACTTGAATTTATTATGGGGGAGAAGGGGTTTCTTCTTTTTGTTTTTTTTATTTGTCAAGGTTGGTAAGATTAATTCAATCGAATTCAAACGATAGATCGATCCTTCTTATTCGTGGAATAATTTTGTTTTTCTTTCGAATTCTTTTAAATTGTTTCTTTCTCTTTCTTGTTTCAAATTGAAATTAAAACTCGATGATATTTGTCGAACTTCTTTTTTTTCTTTTTTTTTTCTTTTTTTTCTTTCTTTCTTTTTTTTTTTTCAATTTAACCAACCATCACCTATCACACCTGAAGATGTATTTGATCATACGTGCGAGATTGTGAACTTTTGCGATTACTTCCTCTTGCATTAAATTGAAACACATAGCGATCAGTGCCATACCTAAGAGATTATCACACACACACAAAGGGATATGTATATATATATATGAAAATATGATTTCCTTTTGAATAATATTTAACTTTAATTTGAGTCAATCCTACCCTTACCAAGCATGAGATACATGAAACAGAAGATGAAGGATAATTCTAGTCCTTGTCCAGAATAAATTCTATCACCTGGTACTATATCACCAAATCCTATGGTTGACAGTGAAACGAAACAAAAGTAGGAACCATCTAACATATTCCAATCTTCCCATTTTGAAAATAACAAAGCACCTGCTATTACGTACCTAACGATTAAAAAAAAAACAAACCAGAAAAAACACCAACATAATTTTCAATATTTTTAAAACGTTCAAAGAATAAATTTCAATCAAAAATATTAAATTAGTTTTTTAAATACTACGTATAATAAAATTTCGACTTACCCAACCATAATTCCCAGACATAGTGTCAATGGTACAGTTACTTGTTGTGGATCATATTTACTGCTATTACTTGTATCATCATCATCATCATCATCATTCATTTTATTCATAATATCAAATTCATTGTTATAATTTATTTCCATTTCGTTGATATCTTGATCAACGCTAGAATTTTCTATTTCACCTTTCTGTTATATAATTAAATTATAATCATGCATTATATCTCCTAGAAAAAAAAAAAACTATTTAAAATATAATACATACTAACCTGGCATTGATTTCTTTGAACGTTCATTTCTGGTCGTGTTTGTAATACTTCAACGGTAATCGGTTCTCGATGTTTTTTATGACATCTAAAAATAAATATCAACGTAAATTCAACGTATAGTATGATAATAAATTAATAATGAATATAAATATTAATTTTTAAATTCTTACTTGCATAAGCAACAACGAGCATAAATCCATTTGAAACTTCTAGCAAAAATATCACCTATGTTGCTCAAATAAAGAAGAAATAATGGCATACCAATTATAGCATATATTATTGTACACAATTTTCCCCATTTTGTTCTAGGACAAATGTTCCCATATCCTTGAATAAAATGTGAAAAAAAAAAAACAGAAAAAAAGAAACTATTAATTAAAGAAAGTTCATTCAATGTTTAAATTTTTTTAATTTCATATACGTAGGTTGAAACTTAAATAGTGGCAACTATTTATTCATAACCGATACAAAAGAGTGACATGTTTACACCTGTTACTGTCCTTCAAAGTAGTCACCAGCGTTGTGTAGTACCCGTTCGCAGAGCCTGTTCTGTTGATGGTGCGAATGGAACAGTCTACTCATCGGAAACCCATCGTGGCATTGGCTTCAGAACTGTTCCAGAGATTCAACATGCAGTTAGACCGTTCCATTTGTACCATCAATAGAACAGGCTCTGCTAACGGGTTCTACACAACGCTAGTGACTACTTTGAAGGACACTAACAGGTACAAACATGTAACATGATACAAAAGAGTTACATGTTTGCACCTGTTACTGTCCTTTACAGTAGTCACCAGCATTGTGTAGAACCCGTTAGCAGAGCCTGTTCTGTTGATGGTGCGAATGGAACGGTCTACTCATCGGAAACCCATCGTGGCATTGGCTTCAGAACTGTTCCAGAGATTCGACATGCAGTTAGACCGTTCCATTTGTACCATCAATAGAACAGGCTCTGCTAACGGGTTCTACACAACGCTGGTGACTACTGTAAAGGACAGTAACAGGTACAAACATGTAACTCTTTTGTATCGGTTACCACTATTTAAGTTCCAACCTACGTATATCAAATAGATTTTTTTTTGTTACAGTAACGAGCATATAAAACAAAAAATTAGATCAAGCGAATGAGATTGAGAGAACAAAATAAAAATAAATGATCTTTCTTTTTTTACCGATAGTCGTAATGACAGTGAGAGAGTAAAGAAATGCTCCAGCAAATGTCCACTTTTTATGTTCCTCATTAACAACCTCATAACCGTTTCGTATATTTTTAACCATTTTTTGTTGATACCTTTCTAATATATTCTTAACTTCTTTTTTCCATAATCTTTCGGAAAATATGTTCTCCTGTATATGTAAAATAAATTACATTAAGTTTATTCTTTAATTCATTAATTTAGATTTTTATTATTTTAACATGTACAAGGAATATTATAAAAATATGCAAAAAAAAATAAACTATAAAATTTTGTTTGTTTGTTATATCTAAAGAACAATTAATCTAAATTTAGAAATGTTTAATTTCTGAGTTTTAAGTTTAATCTTAATGTACTTTAATTATGTTTCTTTGCTAATAGATTCTGTTGATATTTTCTTATATATCAAATGTTCAGAAGTGATTTACAATGAAAATTGATATTAAATAAATAAATGATAATAATGAGAATTTGTTGATTGGATTGTTAGTCAGTTGCCATAATTATTGGTAGCAATATTATGTTAATTGAGGACACACCTTCGAGGTCAAGTCCCAAAGTTTAGCAGCTGTGATGTTTCTTTGCTTGACTACATCGCCGGATATGTCCAAGCTGTCTTTGGCCTCGATGTAAGTGAACAGGAAAGCACCTACTATAGTATAACCTACGACCAAGCATACTATGCCAACATTACTGAAGAGGAAGGCTATCAGTGCCCTGCTCCAGTCACATATCTTCTCGTTCCAAGGCTTCCGTCGTTTTCGTTTCCTTCTTTCATTTTGAAAACGATAACTTCCACGTTGCAATTGTACATTCGTTGTTGACAATCTTCTCATTGATTTGTTCGTTTCCATAATATTTTTTTGTTTTTCTTTAAACAAAAAAAATTCACATTTTATTTTTTTTCTTTCTATTATTATTAAATTTTTTTTTATCTTATTTTTAATTTTTTTAATACAATCTTTTAATAAAAATAATAATTTTTACGTCGTTTAAAAAATGTTCTAAACGAAATACTAATTGAAGAATTTAAACGAGTTAGTTAGTTTCTAATAATAACATTTCTATTGGAACAATGCCATTGGTTGACATTTTAATGATGAATTATTCAAAAGACTTATTCTGTGTTATATTTTTTGGTTTCATTTTTTCTCTTCTTCTATTTAGTTGTATTTATATATTTGATAATTAATGTTTTAATCTGGATGTTACGATATACGAGATTGATTTTTTTTTTAGATATCAAGGATTTATCAAGGATTCTATACGAATAGGTTGAGAATATCATTTACGTTAACTGATCCGTTCACGATCAGTAAATTGCAGTGTCGGATTTAATAGAAAATGTCCTCGTATAATAGTTATTCTCCCTTTTTTCTGAATTATATCTCGTTGGTGGTCGTTTGGTATCGACTTTGTTGTTAGGATTTGCGGATAATCGACAAAAATTCTATACTCAAAGTAAAACGTGCTGTTCAGTGGCAGTGCTCAGTGATTTTGACATGGTCTATTATTGTTAAATTGTTTACATTTGCCTAATGGAAATTATAAAAAGAGATGAAAGGGAATGAGAGGAATATACGAAATTTCGAAAAAAAGAGAAAAAAATAATCAAAAAAAAAAAAAAATAATCTCTAAGTTTATAGCTAAATGATTTTTTTTGTGGGCGTTTTAAAATATGTGTTTTTTTTTTTTTGGGTTTCTTTTTATATTCTTGTGTCAATATATTTTACCTTTTTTATTACGGTTTTGAACAATTTAAAAGATATATGTTAAGATTTTTTTCTCATTCGTTTATAATATTTAAAACAAAAAGAAATAGTTTCTTTAACCATTAGGGTTACTTGAACGCAATGGTCAAAAATATTTGTTATTTTTATTATTATGTTTTTTTTTTTGGAATAGTTTTGAACAATTTTACAACATACAAATGTTAATTTTTATAATAAAAATAATTTGAAAAAAAAAAACAATAAGGAATTATTTTTTTTATGCATCCAGGAGGTTCTTGCATACCACAGATTTATCCTATAATTTATAATAATAATTTTTCTATTTATCTATTAAATTATTCTAGTCATCTATTGCACGATTAAATGAATTAGATTGTTTTTTTTTTTAATATCATAACTCAATCGTTAATTATTTAAATTGAACGTGTGTAGAAATCATGGTATCATGTCTTCGACATTTTTATCCTTGAACAAAATGAAAATCGATTCAATATATATATAAATAATAATAATAATAATAATTACAATAATAATTATAATAACGATAATTTGTGAAGAAAGTAGACTTTGAAAATTAATTAAACAAACACACAACACACAAGCATATGTATATATATATACATTCATACATGTGATTTCTGTAATAGTATATATGAAAAAATATTAAACAATTTCTGTCACGATCACGTAAGGTTTATCTCACGTTGAAATCTAACTATATATATCTTTCGATAGATAATCGTTATAAAATAGTCGAATATAAAAGCCAATAATCGGTTTGGCACGACACTCGCGTACACTGGACATTCGAGACGTGCCACTCGACTACTACTAATGAAAATAGCATGACGCTAAAAATAATCAACTTCCAGGTTGGATCCTCAGCGTCCTCTAGTTCGATACCATTTATTGAACTTCAAGTACACCCGTTATAGATTTTCATTGTGAAATCTTTAAAACAACTATAATACGTTAACGTTCTTTTTTTCTTCCTTTTAAATCATTAAAGGATATAATAGGGTTTGATTGTTATTGAAAAATATTGACTAAACATTGTGAAAAGTATACTTTTCAAATTTTTTCAATATTGCATGAGTGTTTTATAATTGAACGAAATTAAAATGCAACGTTATTTGATCAAAATATTTTTTCTTATAATATGACAATAAATAATTAAATAAAGATTAGAAATAATGATGAGATCATTTTGTGGTATAGGATGATTAACAAATTTCTCTACGAATAAAATGTTGACACATTTATTATAATAATAATAAATTAATTTGTTCTTTATTGAAGAGTTGCACAAGAGTGCAGATTATTCTTATCAAATGTTTTTTGATGAATGAACAATAATGTGAAATAAAATAATAATAATAATTAATTATCTACGATCATCGAGATAAATTTTCCTTTGATTATCGTCACATCGTCGTTCAAATTCATTCTCATCTTCATTATCTTCGTATTCCGCATCGTATTTGTAATCGTCATCGTCATCGTCATCTTCATACTCGTCATCGCTACCTTTTAATATACCCAAACTTTTTGCCACACTTTTAACGTTATTTATCACCTCTTCTTGTACCAAATTAAAACTCATTGCTAATAAAGCAATACCAAATAACAGATACAACGAACATAAAGCTATTCCCTTGTGGGCGTCTAATTTATTTGGTACGAAGTCACCAAATCCTAAAAAAAAAAAAAAAAACAAGAAAAAAAATTCATTCACATTACAAAGTTATCTATGTCGTTTTTCTTTCGATGAAATTAAAACATTTTCAATGTTATAATTTTATTTCTGATCAGTTAATTTTATTTATTAATAAATTGATGAAAAGTCTTTGTTAATTTTGTTCGTTTCTTTTTTCTACTTATTGCACATGTCATTTGTCATTTGTTATTTTATTACGTTTATGATTTCATATTACATATTGTTTAAACTAATTATAAATAATATGTAGTAATGTAGATAATGTTATCAATAATTAATGATATAAACTAATGTTAAATAAAACAAAAAAAAAACATTGTTGCAAAAATAGTTCTATTTGGTTAGTATGAATATATCATTATACAGTTAATTTAATTTTTGGTTTTGTTTTGTTTTTGAATTTTCGTATTATGGAAGGGTAATGAGTTTAAATACGATTTTTCAATAACAAGAAAAATTCTAATTACCTATGGTCGTGAGTGTGATGAAACAAAAATAAGCACTGTCGAGAAAAGTCCATTTTTCCCATTTGCTAAATAGACAAGCACCACCCAATATGTAACTGACTACTAGAAATACGCAAAGCCAAATGGGTACTGGTTTTATCGGTTGTCTATCTTGTTCATCGTTAATGTTGTAACACTCGTAATCAACGTCTATGTCATCTGTACAAGCACGTCGGTGCATAGCAAATCCCATTGGTGACATGATTCTTGGTAAAGAAGCTTCCCTTCTATAGAAACGTGCTAAAACAAAAACAAAACAAAAAAAAAGAAACAAAACGATTTATCGATCCAATAAAAACGATCATTTCTTCCTGTAAGTATGTTTTCATTGATAAGTCGTGTAATAAAAAACAAACAAACAAAAAGAGACAACTATCAATCTTTTTACCAGTAGAATAATTACTAGGTGAACGTCTTATTCTTTCGGAATAAAATCTTCTGTTTTGATCGAATCCTGGTGGTGACAAATGACTCGATGATAAATGATATGGTGTTGACAATGTTGATCTATGTTGTTGAGTTACAACACCACTTTCCACTGAATGATATCTTCGTGGTAATGATCTTGTAATCATTGTTGATTGTTTTTCAATGTCTTCCAATTTATCTTCTACTTGTGTACGATTATCACCAATTTTGTTCATATATTCAGCTATAAATGTATACATATAGTAATATTTATGTAATATCAGTTTAAAAATGGTTTATAATATTAATTTTCTTAGAGGAATTATAGAAATTTCATTATTAATATAAAAAAAAAAAAGACAAAGCCTGAGATTATGAAATTCCATAAAAAAATATTTACATTTATTATTTCGTGTCGTAGGTTGCCATAAAAATAAATCATCGTCGACATCGTCAAAAGCGTATTTGTTGCACAGAACAGGTGACTGATCGGTTTCGATGGTTCCACTTGTTAATCTTCGATCGAGTGATTGTGTACTTAATTTAGGATTACCTGTTTTTTTATTTTTTTTTTTTCAAAATCATTTAATGTAATAGAACATAAAAAATATTTGGATTATTTTAATATATATATATTTACATTTTCTTCTAGGTAAATAATACCTTTGGGTAATTTTAAAGATGACAAAGGAATATCCGAATTTCTAAATGAGGTCGTTGACCTTAATGCTGTAGGAGAAGATAAATGATAAGAATAGATTCTTCTTTGGTCCATTCCATTTATACGTCTAGAATTATCCCTGATTTCATAGAAAAAAGAACAAAGAAAAAAACAACAACTAGGTAAAAAAAAAAACCAAAAAGTGATAAGTGTATAGTTTTTTTCTTTTTTTGGTTTAGTAAAAACAAAAAAAATATTTTATAAAAATATATATTTAATTTATATTATCTGTATTTGATATGTTTTAATTATTTTATAAATAAATAAATATTCCTTTTTTCTTTTCTTTTTATTAAAAGTAACAGTTTCTTTTTACCTTTTACGTACAAAAAGGTAAAAGAAAAAAAGAGATTAAATGAATTGTATTGTTGTTTATTATTAATTTTTAATTTTTGTTTGTTTAATTAATTACCTGCAATCCGTGTCAGAGTAAGAAGTTCGTCTAAAATCTTCTGGAATTCCTAAAGTTCCATCGTTTGATCTTTGACTTAACCTAATCGAACGTCGGAATGACGTTGCTCTGCTGTTGATGTCGTATCTTCTATAAAATGTAGAATATTTTTTTTGCTTCTTCAAATTTTTAATAAATCGAACATTTTCAAGTTAACGTGACTTTAAATTTAATGAAATATAAATGATTAATTACCCTGCTTGTCTTGTCGAATAGGATCTTCCTAAACTGGATCGTGTTCGTCTCTTTTTTGGTGGTTTTGTACATACGTAACAACATACTTTCCAATACAGGAATCTAATGCAAGTTTAGATAACCAAAAAAAAAAAAAAGAAAAATATTCAAAATATTAACGGCAAAATAATACAAATAATATAAACAATTATATTAAAATTATATTAAAAAACAGGACAATTATTTTACATAATTTAAATATGTAATCAAAAATATTGGTCAGTGCAAAGATTGAAAATAAAAATAAAAATAGAAAATATCTTGAGAGTGTTTTTTTTTTTTTTACAAAAACAACACTGTTTAAATGAAACAAAAAAAATTGTTTTTGTTTTTAAATGTTTACAAAAAGGTAACAAAAATAATTCGTCAAATTAAAATTCTTTTTTTTTACCTAAAACTCGATGCCATAACGTCACCGATATTAGACAAACATAAAAGCATCAATGGTATTCCAACAACGGCGTAAAAAATCGTAACCACTTTACCATTTTTAGTTTTAGGTGATATATGACCGTATCCTGAAAATAACAAATAACACATTATATTCATTATATTTATGTATAAACGATTTATTTAGATACGTACAAAATTATCTACGCTTTATTATCTATAATAAGATAATATTAGATATTCGAATGATCACTACGCAAGGTTAAATTTAATAAATACAAAATTATGCATTAGCGTTCGAGCATAAAAATTTCTTCACGGTCCAACCGGTACATCTTGAGTTTCGGGTTAAGGTCATCAACATTATAGAATTTAAACGATCCCGATTAGTTTAACTCACACACGTACATATGTGATTTATTGATTAGCTTACACATTTTAAGAAATTAACTCTTGTGAATGTTTGAAAATGATCAAACAAAATTTGGTTTTTTATTTGACTTGAAATGTTTCTTTCTCTCTTTAATAAAAAATTATTTAAAAAAAGGGAAAATAAATCAAATAAATATAAACCAAAAGCCACCACTAAGTTTTAGTAGAAAAGTTCGATGATATTTTTTATTTCAAATCTCCCCCACACCTTTCATCATCACGTTCATTGGCTCCCACCGCTCTGTTACATAGCCGCCTACCGTTCCGTTACATTTTTTCAAATCACACCCATTCTAAAGAAGTTTTCACTTGACAAATTAAGAAAATGGAATAGATTAGAAAAATATCGAAATAATATTTTAATCGAATAGATTTTCCTTCTTTTTTTTTTCACGAATCATAATTGAAATCGATCCCTTCGGATGGTACGCTTATTGTATCGGTTTGTTTCTGTATCCGGCGGATGAAATAATGACGCAACGATCGAAAACAAAAAGGGGAAAAGGAAGGCAGGTAGGTAGGCAGGATGAGCAGAAACGGTTCGATTTAGCATGAAAACTCGGTCATGCGTTCCTTTGTTGTATTGACTTTATTTTTCATGTAATGAGGTTACTCAACGGTCTCGTAACGCCATAAGATACGCAAGAAATCAAACACGACATTAGTTGATGGCCAACTTGTAAAGTTCGATCAAAAAAAAAAAAGTAAATCAAATTCAATCATTCATAAGATTAAACTATAGGATAATATTTTAATCAACCATTTAAATTTCCAATTGTATTTTTAATACAAATTCTTACTTTTTTTTTAATTCGATTATCGAACCAATTGTCGATAATTACAGATAAAATTAATGAAACTAATGAATTTTATAATTTCGTAATTAATAATTCATTGCAATGAACCACGTTCAATCAAAGTACTTAACGAAAGTTCGTCAAATTTACAACAAATAAATATTTATCTTTACAAAATATATAGAAGGATATAAATGAAATGAAAAAACACAAAAAAATAATATTAAAGCATATATCCGATGGTAAAACCCGTGTGTTATGAATCATCAATGACCATGACTGTTCAAACTGTTCGAGACAAAAAATTTGGTTAACGTTTAGGAAGAAAAAGAAAAAAAAAAAGATTGGTAGAGTGGTTAAACGATTGAAAACCTGTATGTCGATCATTATTATCCCAAAGGACCTCGAACTGTATATCCACATGGTACATTCACCTACTCACCGTTGCATATATAAAGAGACGATTCACTTTCACTCTCATTTAGTTGCCTCCTAAAGGTTTTTGCTTGCGTTAAGAAAATATTATCGTATTTCACGTGTAAGATAACATATTGACCAAATTTTAACTAATTACATTTAACTCAAGGGAAAAAGAAAAATTCAATTAAAAATCATGAAAATTTGTATTATCATCTGTTGTATCATCGTAAGCGTTTTATCCAAAGATGAAGCATGGATTTGGAATGATAAAAAAAATCTACAAAGAAGTAGAAGTGAGGATTTTGGTAATCCAAGGTATTGCACTATTAGATTTCAATCTTTTTATTTGTGTTAAATATTAGATTTTGATATTTTATATTTTTTACATTATATTTATATAAATATTTCTATTGAAAAGTTCAACTAAAGAAAGAAAGAAAGAAAGAAAGGAGAGATTGTATTTATATTTTTAAACGACTGTAAAACTATTGTTATACGGATAGATATGAAATACATGAGAATACCGATGATTACGAGAACTTCGATACTGGTGGCCCATTCGTGGGATTTAGGCCACAGCATATAGGATCTAGACCACAACAGTATCCAAACTCCTATGGTCATGGAAATAGGCCGTTTGTGACGACTTATCCGAATAATAACGGGGTCTTAGTAGGACCTGGTGGACCGACAGGAATTATTGGAAGGTATTTATATATATATAGTAATATAATAATAATTTCGGTATTTATGAGGTATATATACCTATAAACCATAATAATATTAGGTATGTAATCAATATAATAAATATAATATATATCTTATGGTATATTATATCAGTATTTTTTAAATATCATGAATCTCGTAAAGTAATTCGATTGGACGTGAAAGAGAACACGTTAAATGCCACGAAAAAAAAAAAAATAATTTGATTTAAAATAAAGAAAAACAAAAAAATGTTTAAATTTGAAGAAACAAAAAATCTGAATTATGAATTCGAATGAAAAAAAAAAAAAGATAAAATAAAAGTAAACAATATGTTTAATATAACAAAAATTCGATATTACTCATTCGCAAAAGTCTAATGCATGATGATATTGTATTATAAATGAAATACATTGCGATTTGTGTAAAATCGTTTGGGCACTGAACGTGTTAATTAACGGCGAAGCAGTTATGAAATTTCGATAATGGCAGGCCACATGCACCGAGCGGCGGATCGATCATCGATTACGACGATAATTTAGATTCTGGACACGTACCCTTCCCAAATCCAAAAGGTTCACGTTATCGCGAATACGATATTTGCAAATGCAGATACAGTTTTAATTGTCCATCAGTTGGATTAAAATTCGTACGTATTCAATTTTCTAACAATAACAATAACAATGACAATAATAAAATAATGTGAAAGGAAATTAAACGAATAA